GGAGAGAGAGAGAGAAGGAGAGAGAGGTTAATAGATATAATTGTGTTACTATTTCATTCTCTTCGTTCTTCGCGCGATTTGCATGCGCAAACATCTACAAGAAGATTATATTAATAACAGTGTAAACTTTTTTTCCCCACTTATTCTAATCGGGGAACATTTAATGTTGAGGAAATGAACTGAAATGTGTTGAAAGTGTTCGAAACAAATGGGATTAAATAAAGTGTACGTAAACCTGAATGTGATAGGATAACAAAATGACGAGGCAAAAGGAGCGATTTAAAAAAATTTGTGTATTTTCATCGTCTAAATTATTCGTGTCTCGCGACAATCAAATTGATTCGGAATTGTTTGTTTTTTTAATTTTTGATTGAAATCGATCGAAAAGAGAAATTGCATACATTTTCGATACTAATTTAAATCAAGATTAATATAATTTGAATGATCATGAATCGATAGATTTTAGCGCGTGTTTTACAGAAGTATCATTTATAATATCTGGTAGGAAAAGTTAATTTTTTTTTTTTTTTTTTTTTTTGCCAATCATCCAACAATTTTCTAAAAAATTTGAATATATTAATTTTAATTAATTATTTATAAGTATCCACGTGTACCTATTTATGTAGAGAATAATTTTCTGTCACAAGATAGCCGGGATCAGCTTTCTGATAAACGAGTCATTGCAATAGAATTGATATATCGTAGAAGTTTATGATACAATATGTTAACATACAATGTGAAAAGATAATATAAAATGTAAATATAAATGTTTAAATTGAACCTGATATATATATATATATATTTGATTTGCCAATGTAAATAGATTTGCTTAATCCACTATAGTTTGCATCGGATACATTTTTCCACGTAAAGAGTTAACACGATAATAAATAAACAACAATCAAACCGCGATAAAATTTACTCGCTCACCCGATCCGAGACCACGTTCAAAGAATGATAAAACGTTTCACAATTATTTTGCCATTATTATATAATCATTACATCGGTGAGAAAAATGAGTAATGATTGGAATAACGAATTTTGAAAGGAGAATCGTTCTCGATCGCGGCAATTTTTCCATTTAAAATCTAATTTTAATCAAACGAATCGAATCGAATCGAATCTCTCTTCCTCGAATTCCTATTTTCTTACATAAAGTTCCAAACATAAAGTTTCTACTAATTTTTTTTATCATCTTTCGAAAAAGAAAATTGAATATAATATAGCTGCGATAGGTTAGAAAGAAATCGGAAGAAAAAATAAATAACGATTTTTATTTACCAACGAATCCGATTGAACAGGGAAGATCGTGTTGATAGATTAAAATTTTATGTTATTTCCCGCGTTGCCAATGCGAAATCCACACACGCTCCTCGTTACAAGGACACAAGTGGTGCAAAGTGTGGACAGCTGTCGACGTGGGCCAAGAAACTATTAACGATGTCTTCGTTTAGAATTGTTGTTTAGTCAGTTGCATGCATACGTATACATAAAGCCAAGCGTAGGATTAACCGTCGATACGAACGAGCATCGACATTAACCGAGGAGGAGGAGGAGGAGGAGACACGATGCGAGAATTTTTTACATCGGCAAAAAGTTAAAAGTCAAAACGAACTGGACAAAATCTACCACCTTAAGCCTTGTCTAAAAAAAGATTTCGACGCACGATTCTGGAGCAAACTAGGAATACATTCAAGGATCCTTGCACACGAAATAACAACCGATCATTTATGTAACCAAGAAATTTTATACACTCGCTTTGTTGTCTTACTCGCTTATTTACATGTACAGGGTGTAAAACACGAGAAAACGCGACAACCGTGTATATTTCTCGTTTACATTTACGCCTTACGTGAACGAGATAAATAAAAATTTAATAGGCGACGAGGTCGAAGTGAGTCTCGAAGAGAGATCCATCCGGCTTGGTTTGTTTTCTTTTGCGATATAACGAATGTTTCAAGGTTATCGTTGTTTCTCTTCCGAATTGTGTACCAGTAGTTTTGACGATTATTTGCATTCATATCCAAATGTATGTAGTAGATACTTATTCCCGTGCATGCGTGGCCAGATTTCGAATCGTCTCTAATTTTCCTCTTCCTCGTTTTCAAGATTTCATTGTTTTTGCGAGCGGGCAGAGGAGAGAAGTAGGATCGATAGTAGGAGAAACTATTGCGACGAAACAGACTTATACTATGTTTTCACACTTCTATTCCTGGCAAAACATAGCACAAGTTCCAAGAACCACCGAAATACGAACGTACGAAATTTCTTTTTCTTATCTAGGCTAGATCGCGTATACACGCAGGATCTTTAAACTTTTTTCCAAAATTATTCAGTATTTTGCCTTACGATCTATAAACATTTCGAATTTCTTTGATGACATCCTTGTTAAGAAAAATAGTCCCTAGAGAATTTCCCCGTGGATTCCCTAGGGGGATAGGGAATTTTTTAACTTTAACATCGCGAATACCTTAAGAAATTGGAGGACCGAGGATAACAGATATCCGTCCATTAATCCATTAATACTTGAAGTTGAACCGTGATCGGTCGTTGGATATAAAATACGCAAACACCGCGAACGTTACCGTGACTCATTCCTTCTATCTGTACAAACAAATCGGTAGCACCAGATTTAACGCATCCGACCTACTAATGGCAATTTCAACGCTGTACGATTATCTCTCTTTCACGTAAATAATTACGCGCATCATCGTTGCACACGATTAATAACACGATCTCCCCCGTTCGAGACGCGATATCGAGACGAAGACTGGATTCGTCGTCTGTCGGCCTCCCTAATTAATTTGCCATTGCCTCCATGGGAATCGTCCTATTAAAGTGGACGGGGGGAACGAAAGCCTATTAGTTAGATCCACGTTGATATTGGAAAATGTCAACTTTCTCCGTGTTAATGAACCGCATGTACACACACACGATAAATGGAAAACAGAGTCGACGAATCGGATGATTAAACGATTTTCGATCGATGATATGGAGATTGTTATTTTTTATTTTTAAACAGGTTGTTCTCTTTGAGCTTGATAAAGTTTGGGCGTGTTGAAGAAATTTGATCGAGTATGTTGTCGCATATGGAAAAAGTATACTTGGAAATATTAGTTTTCGATATTCGAAGATGATAGGTTTGCAAAGGTTAAAACCGTGGAGAATTATTTCTATTGCTATCCGTTTTTTGCAGTTTGCTTTCTTTCGCCAAAGAAAGCAACCGATACTCGGTAAAGTAAGACATTTTATTATGCCAAACAAAATAATAGATCGAACTGTCTTTGTATATTTAATCAACTTGTATACATATTTAATCGATAAATAATGATAACCTCTTCGCAGAGGTCTACACACGATACACCACTTCTATGTATTGATCTTTAATTGAACAGCTGATGAATCCCGCCTTCTATTCAACATTTCCTATCGTGTACCACCTTTCTAAGAAAACTTTTTCTTCTCTTCAACGCGGTAAACTTAATATTCTTATCTACCTCCTCCTCCTCTTTTTCATTATATTTATTGATAAACACCTCTCGTTTCCATGACATTTCTCCTTAATCTTCGTTTGCAAATTCGAACAATAATTTCTCCTTACACTTCATTTTCTTCCTATCTCGACGAAATAGATATGACAGATGCTCGAACGATCGATGACCCAATCTTATTAATTACGACAACTCTCGATTTTCATCGATCAAATTAATAATTAAAACAAGAATTTTTGCATTGTTCTCCACGATATATATACATCATATATGACGCATAAGAACGATGGGAATATCAAAATAGAGCATTAGTTACTTTTATCCAAGCAAAATTGCGAACGTAGCAACTTTTACCTTGACCAATATAGATAACGATCCGCTGTCTCGTATCGAAGGCCCTTCTATCCGTGGAAGATAGGCAAAGCAGGTAAAGAGTAATTTGCTAATGGATGCAATTCCTAGCTTCAAGGAACACAAGGAACGCGCGATTCTCTTTTGCTTCGTTTCGATGCAATTTCGCGAAATTGTGCTCGATTTTTATCACAGAATGCTCCAATGCTCGTCCAATTTGATATCGATGCTATCTCGTACAGGATGGGCCGCGCAAATGGGACAGGATATTTCTACATCACGTGTAATTTTTTCTTTTTCGTTATTCATCCCTTTATCTATTTCTTCTTTCAGCTGCAATCAAGGACAAAGATGAGGAAGGTGATTTCTTCCTCGAGGACGTTTCGGATTCTCGGGAATTCTCGTATTTTTTGGTGAATTGCGATCGAAATTGGCGATGAAATAAATATCCTGGGAGAGGATATTTTTCGATTGGAAAACCGATTGAAAAATATTGTGAAATAAATAATTGCGTTTGTCTCGAATCACGTTTGATCGTTGTATTCATCATATTTTTACGCAAGTTCGCAACGCGAACGCGAAAGTAAAATTTACATATCGTTAATATTTTTATACAAATTCATCGAAATAGTAATAAATAAAAAAAATTGCTAAAGTTATAAAGGCAGATATAAATATTTTACATTTTTATATATTACGTGTTATTTTTAAAACCGTTATTTTTAACAATAAAAAAAAAAATACTGAAAATTTTCACAGATCTGCATATTCCATTTCTTCGGTATACACATATCGTTGGAAAAATTTGAACGAATTCCACGAAATAGATAGAAATGATCGAAAATGATTTTGCATACAATCCAGAAATTTTAATTAATAAAAATCGCATTATAAACACATTGAAAGATAAACATATCGATAAGAAATATCAGTAATTAATAGTAACAAATAATTGCAAAATGTTTCATTTCCAACCTTGAAGAGGATGATTATGCACATAAGTGAATTAATCTCGGTATACGATTTCACATGATACGATGAAACGTATGAAATATCGCATTAAAAAAATTAAAAATCATCCTCGTTTCTACAGATATAAAAAAATTTGCATATTATTGTAATTTGCAATTTTGCGTGTTATTACCTAGCTTTTTCCCCCCCGCAAACATTTTCTTCTGGCATGATCGCCTTCTGGTTTGAAAACCTTGGCTTCAAAGCCTAACGGTGAAAAAGTAAGCGGTTAAAAATTTTGTCAAAAGTTAACTTAAAAGTATACTTTAAATATATAAATTATTCATCAAAATGCTTGAATAACAATTATTCGTAGCTTATATAATTATAATTGATCCGTTCTTCGTGTAACCTCGGCCGTTTGCCACCACAGTTCAGTTATTTCCAGTTATTCGAATAATGCTTTCGAATAATAACCACGGGAATAGGTTCTATTACGAAGATAAAAAAGAAGAAGAAGAAGTGTTAAAAAGTTTACTACGATATAAATAGAATGTCGAAGTGAAAAATTATTCTCGACTATTAAAATTTTCTCTGTTTTATATATATATATATCATCACGGTAGAAAGATTTGCGCTACACAAGTTGTCACTCAGGTGAGCCAAATAATTGAGTTAGCGTTCGATTATAATTATTGGCAAACGTACAACTCAATAAATCGTATCCCTTGATATTGGGAAATACATTGTGCCTGTGGTGGTGGTTTGCGGTCCGCATAGTCGACAAGGTGCCGCGAATCAGGCTGATCAATTAAGACCGATGGATACAATTTAACGCCAATTACGACACGCCATTTTGTGTATTCGTATATTTTTGTTGAACCTCTAACCTATTGAAAACATATATATATATATATATATATTGTATAATTTATGTTATTAATTTTTTAATGGTGTAAGAGAAGTTTACTTAAACATAGGGAAGATATAAATGATTAGTTTATAGAAAATTTTTAAAATAAATCACATTCGTCAATTTTTACGTTTTCTTTTTACATATAAAATAATACGTAAAATCACAAATTATGTAGAAAAATTTAGATTCTACGTTCAATAGATTCAAATCTTTAAGTCGAGAATGTATAGCAGGTTATAGCATTTTGAATTCGATGTTACAGATTACAATGGCTTAAGCGATATTCAATAAAACGAGCGATTAAATGGGACGTGAATTGCTGATTATTCCAATTACGACTCCTCTTAGATCGTATCTATGTTCAACAACTTATTTTAAGAATTTCTGTTCCGTTCGTTTCGATTAAAAACTTTTATCTGAAAAAGTTTATATTAAAAACCTCGATATTTCAAATTTTATTTAACGATAATAATTAATTTTTAAAAAAAGAAAAAAGAGAAAGATTGTATTTAGAAATGTCAAAAGCAAAGGAAATTTTTAATCCAAACTTTGTTCGAATTAATAACGCGCCAATTTAATTTCCTTTTTTAAATTCTCTAAATTTAAAAATAAAAAAATCTCTCTAATAAAACTGTACAAATTTTGTTCCATAATCACGGATTCATAAACAATTGATTCTAATCAAAATTCTCTAGAAATAAAATTCCCTAAAAATCCCTAACACTTGGTCCAATTTCGTTATCCACCGTCGATAACCACTTTAAAAATCTTTAACAAAAGCTAATATTACATCGTAATATAAAAATATCGTCGTGATTTCGCAAAACAGAAATATCACCACCAGCAAAGTTCTTTTATTATTCATCGATAAAACGGCTTTACCACGAAGCTGCTGCTGGCCTTTCCTTCCACCACGTCGATTCTCGCGTGTTTACTTTCACGGACATTTTGTCGCGTTTCCAATCGCTCGGTGAAATTTATTCACCGAAATTTATCGCAGACGTATGCACGACGAAAGGATCGAATCGATCGATCGATCGTCCAATGCATTTTCGAGATGACTTTTCCCGCGCGTTAATTCCCGATTAATTCGTGTCGAAGTTGATTGAACCACCGAAACGAGCGTTACCACGGGTTTTACGTAACTTTAACTCGATGTATATCCCGTTATCGATATTCCTTTTACGTATTTCGCCGCTAAATACGCGGTTTTTAACAATGACGTTTCCTCCACGATTGAAAAATAGCGCAATTTGACGTCATAAAATAATTATTAGGTAAAAAATAACCTTATTGATTATTCTGTCTATTATTCTGTATATGTACGATCTATTTAAAAATGTTCCAAACGTTTTTTTAACGAACCAAATATTTTTCTTTCATTTCGTATTTCCAATATTTTTACAATATCGTTGGAAGAAATTAAGAAAAATGATGGTGGAAAAAAAAATTGTGGAAATTTATCAATTAACCCACTTTATTACCCACTTGGATCATCGTGATCATTTGATTTGTCTTTAGATTTAAATTTTTTAAAAGAAATTTGTAAAAAAAAAAAAAAAACCAAAATTACCTCGATTTATTTTAAAATCTTAACATCTTAAAAAATACGAATCAATATTATCGTAAGCTCGTGGAGAATTATAATTATCACAGAACAGGTACAAACTATTACCCGGAAGATAAAAGAAAAAGAAGAAAAATCAATGTTTCGTGTCATTTGGCATTAATCGCTCGAAACATTCTTCCCGATTGCATTTCTCGAAATTATGCAAGAAACTGACCAAGCGTTTGTCAAGATTCCGTCATCGAAGCGTCGTCTAAGATCACGCGGAAACAGACGAGATGCACAGACAAAATACAAACGTTATCGCGCTTCTGGCGATTCACAAATCGGATTTCGTTCGACAAGACGGCGAACGTATCTATTTCTTCGAGATCGAACCGACCTCTCTACGAGGATTTCATGAACGACGTCGAGAGACACGTCTGGAGTTACGACTGAATCTTCCCAACACGACAGCAAATTTCGAATAGCCATTTTTAGATTCTTTTGTGAAACGTGTGTATCGAAGAATTTGGTCTTAAACCGTTGAAAAAGTAAAAATTTCGAATAAAACTACTAATTAAATAATACTTGAATAACATTTATTCAAGTAGGTATTATAGTTAATCCGCTCTTCGTATAATTTCGAGTACAATTTTTTCACTACAATTATTTCCGATTATTATTACGAACGTTTTGAACGATAAATTATCGAAGTAATTTCAAATAAATTTTGCTCATCGCTATGGTGGGCATCGCGTACGGAGCACAAAGATGTCACTGTTGCCTCGGGTCTACGGATACTACGGAATTTGAGCATAGATTATGAAATTAGTCAAGTGTAGAATAACGATATATCGATTCGATATCAATATCGATATCAATGTTTCGATAGGTGTATGATTGGAGAAAGATCAGGATAAAATTAGTCAAAACGTAACGATATATCGATTGGATGTATCGATAGATCTATGTTTAGAGAAGAGCGGCGATAAAATTAATCAAATATAAAGTAATGATATATCGATTGTATGT